CGGCACGGACGCGCGCACTGCCGACACCACGTGGCCGGACACGGCGAAGGCGCGCGCGGGGGAGGCGGGCAGGCACGGGCGCGTCTGCTCCTTGACCCCGCCGTTGCAGCTGCGTGAGCAGGCGGACCAGGGCCCCCAGGCGCCCCACACCCCAGGGATGGCACCGCCGCCGTCCTCGGGGCCGCCCTCCAGTGCCAGCCGCTGCGGGACCTGTGGAGACAGAGGCCGGTTAGGGAAGCAGGAGCCTGACTGAAGCCAGGAGCCCCAGGGCTGGCTTATCACCCTGGCTGGCAGGCGCAGGGGCGCTACTAGAACCGGAAGTAGCGGGCGTTCACCTTGCCGTCCCAGCACGTGGGAGGCTGAGGCAGGAGGATCGCTGCCAGTTGCAGGCCTGTCTGGGCTACAGTGAGACCAAGGCCCACCTCAACTGCATAGCGAGACCCTGCCTCAATAAAAAAAGCAAAAGAGCAAGTGACCAAAGTGACTATGATCTAGCTGGGGTTATCGTCATCTTTACAACTTGTCATAAAATAGAATTTTCATCAATATCTGTATCTATACAGATATGAAGAAGCCCGCAAAGGCAGAAGAGCCGAGGACTCACAAAGTCTCAGTGTCGCGCTACTTTGGGTGCTGTGGCGCTGAAGGCCAAGTCCCTCTTATTCTCCAACTCAGGCCAAAGATTGGACCTCTTTCTCTGCAGGGAAACTGAGACCTGTGTCCCTCTGTGGGAGAGACAGCCACACCAAGGTTTACAGCCAGGCTTCCTGCAGTCACATCACTGCCCACCACTTCCTAGCAGTATGCCTGGGACATTTCGGGGCCTGAGGCCACCACATTGGAGGGAGTCCCTGGTACCCACCTTTCCACGGGGAGTGAGAGTCTTAGGTGAGGTCATTAATGACACAGCAGAAAGCGTAGCACTGAACACTGGGCACTAAATGTCGTGGTTATGTTCCTGCTTCCATGGGAATCAGGAGAGGTGGAAAGTGTCATGAATGTGCAGGTTCTGTCGGGAGAGACTTCTTCACTTAACTGGCCTTTTCACAGAGAGCCACAGGCCCATGGGACACAGAGGTGCCCAGCACCAGCTGTGTGCCTGGTACTGAGCTAGGAGCTGAGCACAAAGGCCCCCCAGGAACTGGCAAGCCCTTGGGACTGCAGCAGGGCCCCCAAGACACAGCTGGGAGGGTCAGCTTGGGGGAGCCAGCCAGTCTCAGGAGGGCAGCGTGGACAGTCCTTGCTGTCATTCTTCAGGGACCGTTTCAGTGCCAGCTTTTGCAAAACCCAGGCGTCCTCACTGCAGTCCTGATCACTGTTAGTCTCACGTTACAGAAGGTAAACTGAGGCTCGGAGACATCGTGTGTCCTGGCACAGGCACGTGGCCACAGCAGGGTCTGCATCCAGCTGTCCCCTGCTCTGAATCCTGCACATCTGGTCCCTTTGCTCTTGTCCCAGGAGAGAGCTGCTCCTGCCGGTCCAGAGCCTCTGTTCCAGCGGCCATCCTGTCCAGGAGCCTGGGGAGTTCTGTGACTTTCCTTGCAATGTGTGTTTTCTCACTAAACCATGGACTTAGAGCGGCAGCACAGAAATGCCACTAGGTTATCTTCACTTTGTTTTTTTTAAATGTTGGCTTTGGGCAGCCCTGTGTGGCCCAAGAGCTCTGAGACCTTGATGTCACCTTTCTTGGAGGCTACTCCAGTGCCCAGAGTGGCCCTTTATCGCTTCAGCAAGGTTCTAGAAGGTTCGGCGAATGATCAGGGCAGGAGGGTGAGCCAGCCTGGGAGTCCAGGAAGCAAGTAGGTGTGTGTTGAAGGGATAAGGCCGCTGTGGGCTAAGGTTGTGGCAATCTCTCGCTGTCACTGGAAAGACGGTCTATGGGAGCTCCACAGAGAGAGGCAAAGTGAGGTCACAGGATACAGGGGTAGACTCAGCTGGAGATAGGGGCAGAGCGAGCACAAGCCAGATATGAATGTGTTCTGGGCCACTGCTGGTCGCCACAGCCCCTGAGGCTGCCATTCCCACCTTAGCCAGATCACATGAACTCAGTAGATCCAGTGGGCATCTTGGACAGAGGTGTATCTCTTCTAACAACAAGACAAGACGGGGGGGGGGGTGTATGGTGGTACACACCTGTAACCCCAGCACTGGTAGGCTGAGGCAGGAGGATCGCTACCAATTTGAGGCCAGTCTGGGTTACATAGTGAGTTCAAGGTCTACCTGGACTACATAGCAAGACCCAGTGTCAAAAAAAACAAAAAAGTAATAAAACAAATCAAGTATAATGGTCTTCTGTTTTCTGATCTACTCTTGATTAATACTAAGATAAATGGTGAGAGGCTGAGGGAAAATGGACGCATTCAGGTTACTTTAGTATTTGGTATAGGGTCTCACTATGCAACTCAGACTTGTAGGGAGCCTCCTGCTTTTCAAACTCCCCGGCGCTGAGATTACAGGTGTGCGCCAGCACGCCCAGACCGGGATGCTGGCTCAGCACGCCTTGGGGTCGGGGCCAGTGTGGCATGTGCTGCTGGGGATTGAATGCCAGTCTCTGTGCTTGCCTAAGCAGGCGCCTGGCCCGCTGAGCTCTCCCTGTCCCTTCTATTCAGGTCTTGATCTACAGTCTATACCTGAGTTTGTTGAGTGGGTTGCATGCTAGTGGCCCTTGCTAAAGATCTTTCCATGCACTAACTCCCAGAACTTGTGTGAGCATATTTGGGAAGAGGATCCTTTGAAATGTAAGTTAGGGATCTTGAGATGAGATCATCCTAGATTATATAGTGGTCCCTATATCATTTTTATTGTCTTTGTTTTTGTTCTTGTTGTTGCTTGGGACAGGGTCCCACTATGTAGTCTAGGCTGGCCTTGAACTTACTACAGAGCCTGGCTGGCCTCAAATTTGTGGTGATCCTTCTGCCTCAGACTGAGAACTGGGTTTAGACATATGCACCACCATGCTTGGCTCCTAACTGCTTATAAGACACAGACACTGAGAAGAAGGCAGTGTGCCCCCGTAGCAGAGCCTGCAGTGGTGTACCCACAAGCTGAGGAATGTCTGGAGCCACCAGAAGCTGAAAGAGGCAAGGAAAGACCCTCCTCCAGGAATCTGGAAGGATCCCAGCTCTGGTGATGTGTTGGTTTGAATGTCTGGCCTCCCAAATGGGGAATGTATCTCTGTTTTTTTAAACCACCAAGTTTGTGGTAGTTTGTTAAAAAAAAAAAAAAATAGAGCATGTTGGGTCTTTGGGCCATCGGAGGAAAGGGACAGGCACCAGGCAGTCACATTAGGGTCCATAGCAGCAGCACTGTGCAGAGAGCACCTGTGCTTACAGACCAGCGCCTAGGCAGAGGCAGCCCTGGTACCAGGTCACCCCGGAGCCCTTCATGCCCTCCAGGCTGCCCTGGCAGATTGCTGTTATTTGTTCCTTTCACAGAGTAGAAGCTGAGACCCCAGGAGCTGCAATTTGCCACAATTTCAAAGGCTCGTGGGAAGCACAGACATGGCTAAAGCTGAGCTCTCTAACCCTGATCCCGCAGGGTTATCTTTTACTGTTGTTCGGTTTTGTTTCCTGGAGCGTGTCATATCCCCATCTGTGCTACTGGTGCAGAGCTACAGGGTAAAAAACGAGGAGGAGAAAAGCCCTTCAATAGTCACTCTAGTGGAAGGATAACTGAGAAACACGAAGAAAGGGGGAAATATGTTTCTGGCACATTTGGGGATTCAAATTATCCTCCACGTCCTGATCTCCCAGTAACAGAGATAACCAAGACACCATCTGTAATATTTGGATTAGACATGCAGCTATACTAAAAACCCCACTTCCTAGAGCTAATCCCTCCCCTAATTTGGTTTCCTATTGCCAACTTGAGCAGGGTCCCTGGAGAAAGAGAACATGAAACCACATTCCATCCTATTCTATTCATAAGAATTCTCTAATTTATAGTTCAATTATGGTGAGTGATTTGGAATTCCAGCAGAGTCCCCATGGTGGGAATCCAACCGCAGACTCCAGAACCATATTTTTATAGTACACAGCCAGAAACAAAGGGGAAACAGGCAGCAAACCAGGGAGGGAGGGAGGGAGGGAGGAAGGAAGGAAGGAAGGAAGGAAGGAAGGAAGGAAGGAAGGAAATCAAAGGGAGAAAGAATCAATCAAAGGAAAAGCAAGGGAAGGAGGACTGGGATATTAACCTTCTGATTTAATCCAACCTAAGGCCTCCTAGTAACCTCCTCTCTCCTGTTTGTCATTAGTCGATGCATTTTTCTTTTTCTTTTTTCTTTTTTTTTTTTAGGCAAAAATCCAGGTAGGATCTTGCAACTTGCAAGTGTTTTGTGATAATAAATTCTTGAAATGTGGACTATCAGGCTGCCTCTTAGTCCATGTCAAACACCCAAGCAAAGAATAAATGATGAGACCCATCCCTGCAACTCAAGCTTTGTAGCCCAGACGTGTACTACCCGTCCCCGAGTCCTCACGTGACACATAGACACTGAAGCTGAGAACTTGAGGTGCTTCCCAAATGCCGCCTTAGCCTGCTGGTTTGCTTCTGTTGTGAAACATCCTATGAATCAGTAAGAAAAGGAAAACTCGGTACGAGACAGGAAGAAGGGTGTGAACAGGGGGTTCATAGGTGTCATGGGCTGAATGGGGGTGCTCCCCTAAATTCCAGTGCTGAAGTCCTAACCTGACATTCAGGGCCATCTGCAGGTGGGGCCTTTGGGAGGTTATGAGATTTAGATGGGACAGTGGGGGTCACACCCCAATGGAGGAAGCAGTGTCTTTTGAAAGAGAAATCCAAAATCCTTCCTTCCTCTCCCACCACTGTCTCTGTCTCTGTCTCTGTCTCTGTCTCTGTCTCTGTC